GAAAAAATAGATGTTCTTTCTTTTTTCCATGTCTTTTTTGCAAATAAAGCAGCAGGATGTCCCAGAGCTAGATAATAGTCCAACATATTTGCTTTCACAAGCAGACCATTAAGCTTGTTTCCATCAGCTGTCCCTCGGTACTTGTATATGAAACTTTATTGAAAATGGTTCAGGAAATACAATTGTATGCAACGGAAATGGAGACGGAAAGGGAGGTGAGAAAGGGAGAGGGGATAAGAGTCAAGGGGACAGAGAAAGAGATGGAGATTGAAAAGAGGTAGATGAGAAAAGAGAAGAAAAATAAAATACCCCCAAAAAATAGCTAAACAAAAAGAATATACAGTAACTTCCAGAAATCTGCGTCTGCATGAGACAAGGGGAGGAAAAAACACAGATCAGAAGAACGGCAATGAGAAAATAAAAAGAATACCAACATAACATTAAACTAGCTTCAATAGCAGAGAGTATCCCTTAGATTCCCAGTTAGTACATGTGTGTAGAAAGCAAAACCTATGGGGATTACAGGGATTTATATATGTAGCTGCAGCTTAGTGTTTAAGAGAAAATCTCATTCATTCTCAAAATGCCACTATTAGTAACAAAATGTTCTTATAAACAGATATATATATATATATATATATATATATATATATATATATATATATATATATATATATATATATATATATATATATATATATATATATATATATATATATATATATATATATATATATATATATATATATATATATATATATATATATATATATATATATATAAACCTAACAGATTATATATTTTAATAGATCTTTTAGGAGATGGGAGTCTGCACAAATTAGTTAAGTAATTAAAAGAATAGTTAATCATAAAATGAAACAAGGCAACATAATTTAGTGGAATGGTTTTTTATTATTTACATTTAATTGGTTACATTTCAACAAATGTATAAAAATACCTACATAAAAAAAAAAAAAAGTTTTTGGAAAGCAGATATTAATCCTAACTGAAATGGTATATTTTTTTTGTCATAAAGGGGACAGGGCTTCTGGCTGAATAAAGTAACCTTCCAAAAAAATTAAATACAACACAAAAAACAAGTAAAACTTTATTTAAAAATGTAAAGTTTTTGTCTTTATTTTGGCAATATGCACATAGAAAATATCTTGTTAATCTGGAATAACCTAAAACATGAGCTGTTATCCAATATATTCCCAGATGTTGTAAAAAAAATGAATTGCCATTTAGTTTTTTTTTTATACAGATGGTTAATAACATCTGGAACATCTGTTCACATGTAGTTAATCCAGCTTGTGTTTTTGTGTAAGTACTGTGGGCAATAAAGTGTCATATGATTAGTTGCAGCAAACAGGCTTTTAAAGATGCTAAAACTCTGTATCTGAGGTTAGCCATTAAGAGAGCAGGCAGGCTGAATGAATGTTTCTTCATAAAATACAGTTTAGATGTGGCATCTTCGGTTGGTGTGTGGATTTTTATGTAAACTGTAATGATTATCTGTAACATTCATCAATCTTTTCTCATTAATAAGCTGTTTTGTTCAGTATTTACTGCAGAGGGCATTCATTTCCCCGCCATATTTGGTCTCCTCACCAAGTGGGAATAATATAACCTGTTCTCACAAAACCAAAATTAACTTTAAACTATTTCTCCTGTATATTTAAGGTGGAAATTCAGAAATGTCCGTTTAGTCTGAGTCCTGTTCCTTATCTTGGTTCTGCTCTGCTGAGCATGGCAGGACATAGGTACAAAAGGAGGATGTACATCTACAGCGTCTGCATCTGTGCTTGGGTCAAATATTTGTATTTCTTTCAACATTTGCAAACCAAATGGAAAAAGAAATGCAGTAGCCACGCCCCCTCCCTTCCTGACATCAACTGCCTGTTTAGACCCTTTACACACACAGAACCGCTTCTTATTTCATCTATAGAAATGTCCTGCTGCACATTTCAACTCTATTTTTGTTGTTACTTCAGCTGCAGATTACTGTTGGTCATATTTGGGTTATGACTATCTTTGGTTTCTCCCTCCAAGAGTTTCAATCAGTTGATTCATGTTTGTTGAAATTCAAGTTTCTTTCTTATCTTTTCTCAATTCCTCCCTTTAGTTTCTTATATAATTACCATAAAAAATAAAGTCACACATTATTCAACTACATCCCACAGTAATTAAAGTTTCTTTCTCTCTGTTAGATCATAACCTTTTTAGGGAGTTCTTTAAGTATTGACCTGTATGAGATGAATCTGTGCTCCAATCAAATGATCAATGTTTGAGTTTTGCATGTAAGTTAAACACTTTTAAATTTTGTTTCATCTAAACAGACAGCATTCTGATTCAGCATGTTGATGTATACCCTGTGCTACTTTTTTTTATTGCAATTCTCTTTTGTTACTTTCAAATGGGCCTGGCATGTGAGATTTATTGCAATAAATTTAACAGCACATGTAACTAGGGGCAACTGACCTCAAAGAAAGGAATAATAATGGTTTATATCGCTGCATTGAGACTTGCCTGTATTATCTGTGGTTTAGGTGAAAAGCTTTCTGATACAAAACTCCAATTGACTTTTATATAATCAAATAAAATAAAAAAAAAACAGATACATGATCTTATAGTTGCACCTTTCATTTTTACACTTACTAAAATGTTTTGCACATAGAAAATCTTCACTTTAAATGATCAGGCCTCTTTTGTGATCTTACACTGGTTGATGATAAGGATTGCAGAAACGGTTGGATCTGTAACAGGACTCAATGGTTAAGTGAATTCTCCCAAATATTTCCTGTCCATGGACGGTTGTTTACTCTGGGAGGCTGTGGCTGGTCAGATGACTTAATGCCTTAAGCAATCAAATAGAGGCTCTTTGTTTAAACAGAAAAAAAAGGGAGCTAAGTACAGTAACACTGTTCTGTTAAGCGCCTTTGTGGCAGTTATATAAAAAGGTGAAATGGAGAAATGTTTCTGAGGATCTGTTTATGAGGTGAAGCCACAGGGCTTGCTGCCATGTAATGGAAGCAGTAAACCATTAGAGAGCAGCAAAACTGCTTTTCTTGTTTAGTTGAACAGCAGACGAAAATTGACTAGGATGTGTGAAGAGATAGGATTATCTTCCCTTCTTGGGTTTGGTCCTCGTATGTGCTTGTATCTTTGTAGCTCTTGATAATTTTTGCAACTGCATTTGGGGACACTTTCAAAGTTTTGCCAATTTTTCAGACACACTAACCTTCATTTCTTAAATTAATGATTTTTTCTTGCCATAATACGAATTCTAACAGTCTATTCAGTAGGACTATCAGCTGTGTATCCAACTGACTTCTACTCAACACAACCCATATATAAGGCAAGAAATCCCACTTATTAAACCTAACAGGGGACACCTGTGAAGTGAAAACCATTTCAGGTGACTACCTCTTGAAGCTCATTAAGAGAATGCCAAGAGTGTGCGAAGCAGTAATCAAAGAAAAAGGTGGCTACTTTAAAGAACCTAGAATATAAGACATATTTTCAGTTGTTTCACACTTTTTTGTCAAGTATACAATTCCACATGTGTTAATTCATAGTTTTGATGCCTTCAGTGTGAATCTTCAATATTCATAGTCATGAAAATAAAGACATTTTTTGAATGAGAAGGTGTGTCTGAACTTTTGGTCTGTACTGTATATATTTATATAAACCAGAATTCAAAATAACCCTCTGTCAGATCATCTATGTGTTTTTTACAGTTGAGATGGAGGTGGCCATAATAAGCTTGCAGTGGGTGGAAGACGTTCGACCAGAAAGGCGGGTCGTGTGTAGATCTACCAACTTCAAAGCTGTATTAGAAAGTATTCAAGGGAAATTAATAAATAATGGTAGAGATAATTGTTTCTTTTGGTTACCAGCATACGAATTTGGGTTTTTCTGGCAATGTGGCAATAAGAATAATCGTCTTGATGCCAAAAAAGAGCCCAACAGATTTTGCTTTCACAAGTGGAGCAGTACGGTTAGTGTTCTGCTTGATTATGCATATATATAGCTTTATTATAAATTATGCAGGGAATTTTACAGATTATATGGACACTGCAATGTAATTTAACCAGGAAAGGAAAAATAGAAAAAAAGAAAAAATAAAGAATAAGGATATAACGATAAAACATCTTCAGTCTGTTTCATCACCTGCAAAGAGATGTAAAAAGAACAACACAACCAATGGATATAGTATAAGAGATACAATAAAGTAACACCTTGGTACTATCGCTAAAGTATAAGTAATATTATTTAATCTGTCATGTATACTGCAGTAGCTGTGGATCAGAATATGGGCTTTCTGTTTGGACGTGAATCTCTAAGTACTTGGAGCCAAGCACCTGTAGTTGTTTGTGAGAGTGCACTTGTGCAAGTTTATTCAAAGAAAAAAATGCTCAATAGTGGTTGTGAAGAGCCGAAACATACGAATGAGTGAAATGTAGGCTAATAAAACTGCAGATAAATCAACTAAAATAGCTTTATATGGGGCAAAAACATTAACAATTGTCTTTGAAAAAGGGGAAGGGGAATCAGTTATGAGGAGTAAAGAAACACAAATATTTTAAAGTGGGATGGTGATGAGAAAGGAAACTGTTTGCATAACACAAAATTCTGTATTAAAAATAGTGAGAAAAATAAAAGTGAAGAAATGATGACTAGATTAAGGTATGTCTCACCTATCTAAATGACATTCTTTATTTAACTGGTAAGATAAATACTGATAAATGTAACAGATGTGCTGGAAAAGAAAATATAGTAGAAAGGACAGGTATGTAGTCTTAAAGGAATGATGGAAACGGAAGAAAACATAAAGGAAATTTATTCATTAAGGAAAGCATTATTTATTTTTCTTCATAACACAAAATAAAAAAATATATATTGTAGGTAGGGGATGTGAGTCCAAGTTGCTATACACTCCTGTACAGTAGGTGGCGGTATGCCGCAGCTGCTTGCGATCCGCCATCATAAAAAAGTAGATGAAGAAGAGCGACTTGTGCGGAAACAGAAGTCCCTCGTGAATTTTCCAACCTGTCGGCTGTCATTTGTCTCCTCGGATAGATTCGAGTAGAGAGGATTGGGCAGATTAGTTTCTGTTCAATTAGAAAGGTTGTGTTTAAAATCTCTCGGTGTGAACGCAGCGGACACAATGCGGGCAGCTTTATTTCTATTTTCCCTTTTACTTTCCTCCGTGTTGGTCACAGGTGAGTGAATATTTGTTTGTTTTAAGTTATTAAACCCCCAAAACATGACGTATTTTTCTTGTGCTAACCTCCGTTTACGTTTGAAGAACCGCCTAATATCCTCCCTTCACAGTTTTCTTGTTTACTTTAACGTAGACTACGTCAGTTTCAACTATTGGTATTAAATGAAGCGTTACCGTCAGCAGCAGCTTTGTTCAACCCACATATTTCCTTTCATCGTTTCCTAACCCTACAGTGATGTTCGTGACCCAAAATTGTTATTTTGTTTGTGATACAAATATCCAGATTGTTATAAATTATACACAGAATCACAACAATAAGACGTATTTCTGGTTAATTTCACAAATATAAAGGTTATATATTTCGGATATGATGGATAAATTCCTCAGATATGTCAGTAAATGTTTTGTATTTTTCCAGATTAACTTTTTGATCTGAAATGTGAGACTCCTTTAAATGGGCACTGATGATATTTCCCTTTTGTTTCAAGATGGATAGAGGATAATTTTGGACATAAGTTTGGACATAGCAAATGTTTTTGGATAAAAACTAAACACATCTAATTTAGTCGAACATCACTGTAGGGTAGAGCAACCTTTTAACTTTGAAGACATAATTATTTCATTTAAAAATGTATTGCTCTTATGCCTTCATATTAATACATTTATTTTTGTTGAATCACCTTTTTAAAATATGTTTAATGTTGGTTTAATGAGATAATTTATTTTATTTTATGTTTTCACAAATCAAAATAGAAACTCAGAATACATCAATAAAATAAGAAATGGGACGGAGTGTGACAGAAACCTCATATGGCTTATACCAAAGGCCTCAATCCTAGAGCAACAAAACACCAGGAAGCTCACATTATTAAAGACATGTCACTTTACTGTACAACATTTTTTTGTTTTTACATTTTAGCTTTCAGATTTCAGGGATTCAATTTTTGTAAAATCATACATCACTGAATTTTTTCAATAACAGTATTTTTTTCAAAGACTTTCTACTATTCATCTCTGAAGATTTGAAATATTTTCTATATTCATTCTATAGTTTTTTGCACCACGATGCCGAAAAGAAAATTGCACTTGAGTTTTAATACTTAATGGTAAATGAAAGGAGAAATCTAGTTTAGTGTTATATGAATGGACTTGGCAGTTGTTAAAAAAATAATCCTTGGAACTATCAGGAGACTGACCCTTGTTTTATCATAAAAACAATGGTATAAGTCTGATAAATATTAATTTCACAAATATTCAACAGCTGTAATTTGGAGAAAAAGGGAGCACTAGCTGTATCAACTTTAGAAAATGTTGCTGAGTTAACAAAATCTTTTTGTAAAAGTAGGATTTTTTAAAGATAACTAAGAAATGTTCTTGCCCAAACAGTATTACAATATGACAGGTATGGATAATATAAAGTCAGGGGTTGACGTTAAGGATTTTTACCACTTGCCCAACTTTCACATTTCATTTGCCTACAAACAATTTTTACTTGCCCAATATAATGTTTGATAAATATAGTTCCTAATATTCATTTTTGTATATATATCAAAGAAACATGTTTGTTTTTTAAACGTTTTTTGTAATTCAGTATTTTTTAAGTTTACAGGTTCCTGGTGTGTATATGCACGCATCAGATAATGAACTCAAGCCTACATTACCGTGTTAACATGCCTTTCAATCCTTCCTGCACATTCTTTTCAAACTAAACTTTGCTTTAAACTGTTGTGTGCTTGGAAAAATATAAATTGTAATGTTAAAAATCTAAAAAAAAACTTGGCAGGTTAAAAACTTCAGATAAATCACAAGACAGAAGTCAATGTCACAAATGAATAACTTTTATTTTAGAGTCACGGTATGTTGATACAAGATAATACTATTAATATAATGAGACTTTTCTAGAGAATCATTATACATAGTTATTTTATACAGGGTTTCCACAGTCTTACATAATTTCAGAATTCCCTGACTTTTAACTGACTCAGGATTAGTTTTCCCTGACAAAATAAATGTAGCAACAAGAGGTCACCAATTTAACATGTTTAGCTCTATAACATTTAAATGCACCTCTCCAATGTCTGAGAGAAAAAAATTTAATGAACATTTTTTTATGTATGACCTGCGTCACTGTACAGAAGACTGCCATATGATAGCCATATTTACACTGTGTGCATGGCATACAATTATGCCAATTTTCCTAATCCCTGACAAAAAAATTTTAATCTAGGGTTATCTGGGTGGTGGGTGAAATGGGTGGAGGGTAAAATAGCCTTGTAGTTGTTTTTTAGCCTTCCAAGTCGAAAAAAATGTGTCTGATTCGTGCCGGAGAAAAATCCCCGGACAAAAATCACGCCATCCGGCTTTTTGAAATGAGAATGTGTACAAAACAACAAAAATGGCGCCGGCAATGCTTCTAGGTCGTTTTCAGCGATTGTCAGTGATTTCAAAGTAATTTTGAGTGATAAATCTTTTTTTTTTTTTTTTTGCGATCATTGCACTTGCCCGGCCGGCAAATTCAATGAAATTTGTACTCTCCCGACAATAGAAACTACTTGCACCGGGCGATCGGGCGATGGTTAACATCGAGCCCTGAAAGTTAACATCACTTTATTGTGAACAAAATTTCTAATCCTTCTTAAAATACCTAGAGATTTAGTGACTTTTTTGCAGACTGTATCAATTTGTTCTCTCCAAAGGAGTTTGTTTTTCAAGTTGAACACCCAAAAAACGAACAGTGGCAACTTTATCAATTTGTTGATTTTAAATACAAATTCTTTCATCAAATGTAAAATTTCTGTGCCAAGCAAAAACCATGAAATTGCATATTTTTTCACATTCAAAGATAACTTATTGGCTTGGAACCAGGTTGAATATTGGGTTAGATCTCTGTTCAGTTTCTCTGTAAGAATAGTCAAGTCTTTGTGAGAGATCACAAGATGAGAGTCATCTGCAAACAAAATAGGTATTTTAGAACTTGTGACATTTGCAAAATCATTAATGTAAACTAAAACAAGAAAGGTTCACAAGATAAAGTTGAATTTGTTTAGTTTCTTGATCATTTTTGATACATGGTTATTATGCAGAGTAGAAAGAGCTGGATCAAGTTTCAGTTTTTATGAACAAATTATTTCAAAGACTGTCAGGTATCTTTTTAGGGAGGTATTTAATATTAAGCAAAGAAAAGGTAATCATCTATCCAAGTTGCTTTCACCATTGATTTTTATCCTGCCAATAGTTGTTTTGTTGGTGCTATAACATGCAAAAAGAGTTATATATTATTGTGCACACCTCTGAATCCTCACCTAATTAATCTAGGTCGACACTGGAAGTCTTTGAAAATACTAGCGTTATCTAAATAGCCTGAGGAAGGAGGATTATATCACTTTTTGAGAATGGATGTATCATCTGCCTTCTGACTTACCCTGATCTTGTGATTTAGCAGCTGCAAAATGTGAGCGTTAAATAGGAAAATATTAAATGGTTTGAGAGGCCGATTTTTCTTTATGGAAGATTTCATAACCAACATATTTTATGTAGATACAAGTGTTGCATAATTTTTTTTCTTTATCTGATTTCTGAATGTTTTAACAATTTTCCTCATTAACCATCATACTAGAATTGGTATAGTATTTTCAGATATTAAATACAGTAAAGTCTAAAACGTCTGCATGTAACTCTACACAGTGTTTCAATATTACTGTGTTAAAAACCGGAAAGGTTCTTGAATTTCAATTCAGTGCTGTAACGTTCTTGAAATTGATTATTTATTATGTTTCATGATGTTTATTCTGTCTCCAAACATCACTGGGATTAAATATTAATGAAATAATGATTGGGTTTGTGAAAATGTCAAAGTCCATCCATTCATCCAGAGTTGTATTAAATTTCCTCCCAAACCAGGATGATCATAGGATTGGCTCAGCTTCAGCTCCCTGATAACTGCAGGGACTGTTTTCAGTATTATAGCTGTAAACATTAACTGCTGTTATCACAGTGTTATCATCTTAAAATACACATGCTATCCAATGTCCATCCTTATCTGCTTTATTGGTCATAGCAGCAAAACACGCTCAAGCTAAAATCAACACACCATTTATATTTCAAAGCTTTAGCAGTAAAAATTTAGGAGAAGGGAAATTTGAAGTCATAGTGCAATGTGCAGAATTGTTATCATTATTTTTTCACTTCAAAGAGAGGATTCGTTAATACTACTGTAGCAATCATCTAGTTTTGCTTACTCAGATTTAATAACTTTTTCTCTGTCTCCGGAAGCAACTATATTGCATTTTTATTTTAATTTCTATCAGGTATTCAAATAGCCTGAAAGAAAATATAGAGGCCTAGCATTTGGACTCGAAGCAGACTGACATTTGTCTCATTCTGCGGTTTTACACTCTGCCTTTGAAACTGTAGGTAGAGATATGTTGTTGTCAGGCTTTTAGCTAGTAATGCGTACAACCTTTACTAAAAAAGATAACAAATTATACAACCTATTTTCCCCAGGAAACTACAAAGTTCAGTATTTCACAGCAGATACAGTAGTTGGAAAAATGTGACCTTTGCTGCTCGACGCAGCGCATCAACCATTCAGAGATGCTGATCTGGGAGCTGGAAGGGAGATAGACAGAGCAGTGTTGAGGCAGTGATATGACCTCTCCACTGAAACTGTTCATTAACGCCTAAATTAACTTAAAATGTCGAAACTTTCCAGCAAAATATGTTCACTTTTATTATTCTTGTGCTTGCAGTTTGAGCCACTGTACATAAAAATCCCTAAACTCTACTTCCAACCACCACAAACAGTAGGGGTAATCCCCAAGAGGCGACCAGATCTGATGCATCAGCTGCTGGGGATTCCCAGTGATGGTACCTGCATTTTAAGGCAGGAACATAATTGTGATGACTGACTGCACAGAGGCTGTTTTAGCTGGACTTTCTCGCAAAAAAATGTATTGAAACTACTTTTTACCCACTTATCACAACAAATATAGCAAAACCACTCTCTGCCATTGAACACAGGAGCAGCACGAGTAACAGATGCATCTGTACACACTTCACTGGATGCACTTTAGGAGCATCAAGTATGCATCAAAGATGCTCCTAAGGAATGTCTGAACTTAATGTGGACAAGCATAAAAAATGAAGCAGCAGGCCCTTTTTTGCTGCTGAAATCATGGTGTGAACGTAGTATTATGCTTTCTGATTGAATTAACCTATGAAACATAATATTGTACCTAAAAATGACCTCTAGTAAAGCACACATACTTACCATCATCAGAACAAAAGTAGTGTTGTAACAAAGACTAAAAGTTAGCTTCATTTCACTTAAAAATGCTGGATTGCCTGTCTAAATTACTAAATTGTACTGGGTAGGATAACCCCGACCCCCCTATGCCACACAACGCCTGAAGATGTGATACACCAAGGTGTACACCCTGTGAATTATTCTAGCTAAAAGCCTGGTTGTTGTTGTTTAAGTGTTTGTCTTAAGACGGCATTGTTAGAGTTCTCTAGTTGCCTAAAATAGAAGCAAGAAAGTTTTGTGGTAGAGTGTGGGTTGTTATGTGTGGGTATTTCCTGTGACGTAGTCACAAATTCATGACAAGTTAGTTGGCTTTTCTTGACCACAGATATTTAAAACATAACATGTATTTAATACAAAAACAGTTAAAGGAGAATTAGGGATTGTATTTGAGTCAATGAGTCGATGCAATCAACTGGTTTTCCTTAGATAGAAAACTTTGAATCAATTTGACTGTATGATCTGGTTGAACTGTAAAGTGCCTTGAGATGACATGTGTTGTGAATTTGGCGCTATATAAATAAACTGAATTAAAATTGAATTGAATTGAAATTTTAAAAAAAAGTTTTCAGGAAGCCATTTATAAAGCTCAGGTTACATGCCACTATAATGAACTTTCAAAATAGCAGGGTGTTCAAATACTCATTTTCCTCACTGTATATGGATGCATGGCATGAACAACTGGAACAATCCATACTGATTAAAAACGCATAGTTTTAAAATTATTATGAACCTAGATGTATAAAATCACATTCATAGATTGTATTTTTTTTTTCCTTTTTTGATGATAATATATCACAAAAATACTTTTGATTTATCAGCACTTTTATTAAAAGAAATAAACTTGACAAGATTATTGTAGGGGAAAAAGGACACACAGCTTGCCAGTTGGGGGTTAGACCCAGCTGTTTTTGCCAATGGGAACCAAGCCAAATACCGGTTCTTAGCGAGTCGACCCGTGTTAGAAAAACCTGCATTAACCCATAAATTTTTCCATCAGTAATAATCAGGACATCCCTACTTGCCTTGTGCCATTGACTCTAGAGAAGTCCCTCACACTCAGCATGCATGGAGAAGCAGTGGAGGAAAAACTCCCCTTAAACAGGAAGAAACCTCCAGCAGAACCAGACTCGGTGCTAGTGGTCTGTCAAGGTCGGATAAAAAAAAAAAACAGAAGCAAATACAGAAATGGAACTAAAAGCACTGATCCACAAATACTTCATATGTTGGAGAAGGTAGTGGTAAGCTAGCTACAAAGGAACCTATGATGAAAAGGACAGGGTCTCTTTTGAGATTAAGCAAACTACAGTGGCTGTAATGAGCATAATGTTTCGCTAACCATTAAACGAGACAGTGGTATTGAATTGTCAGGACGAATAAAGCAGTAGCAACTAAAATTGGCAATAAAACAACCCTGCAGCTGCAACTAAACACCATCACCGTGTGCAGTTTGGGATGGGGAAAAACTTACGAACAATGGGCTGTCTCAATCTTCAAAACAATCCAACGTGACTAAAGGGTTCAATCTCCAAAACAAATTGTTTTTAGCTGTTTGGTGTATTGATAAATTACTTATATTCAAATCTCTTCCAGTTTTTTGTGTTCTTTACAAAGCAATTTTAATGAACTTTGAAAAATGTTGTACATAAACTATATTGCCATTATCATATAAAAGTTTAAAATGGTCCCAACATGACATATTCCAATTTATTATAGTAATTCCTGGGGCATTTCAACGTCCTGTCACACCTACAGTACACCTTACCACTGTCTTATATCTCTCATACATGTCTTGCACAACTCTTAACATACATCAACCAAATTGAAAAGAAACAGTGAGTGAAAAACAATTAAAACATCTTGTACAGAAATACTTCAAATTTTGTATCTTTTGTTTGTTCAGTCTTGATTATTTTTGTTCATGAAAGTTCCTCAAATGAAGAGAAATTTTGGAAACTGCTTGTCTGTTATATTTCATTGATTGGTCTGAAAAGGAAAAATTCTTTGTTAAACTGTATTTTAATACTTCTCCTATTTACAGGGGCTCCAGCAGCAAAGAATGGAGACTTTGCCCTTCAGCGAACTCGTAGGGATAATTCAAATAAGGGTTCAGAGACAGATGCTGGAAACAGTGCATCTGTTAATGATTTAGGTGAAACGGCAAGAAAAAATGAAACTGAAAAAGCAAACCAGGCAAACCAGCCTTCTGTTAATGAACCGGGCAAAACAACAAAACCGGAGGAAACCGGAAAAGCAAACCAGGCAAACCAACCTTCTGTTAATGAACCGGGCAAAACAACAAAACCGGAGGAAACCGGAAAAGCAAACCAGGCAAACCAACCTTCTGTTAATGAACCGGGCAAAACAACAAAACCGGAGGAAACCGGAAAAGCAAACCAGGCAAACCAACCATCTGTTAATGAACCGGGCAAAACAACAAAACCGGAGGAAACCGGAAAAGCAAACCAGGCAAACCAACCTTCTGTTAATGAACCGGGCAAAACAACAAAAACGGAGGAAACCAGAAAAGCAAACCAGGCAAACCAACCTTCTGTTAATGAACCGGGCAAAACAACAAAACCGGAGGAAACCGGAAAAGCAAACCAGGCAAACCAACCTTCTGTTAATGAACCTGGTGAAACAACAAAAACGGAGGAAACCGGAAAGGCAAACCAGGCAAACCAACCTTCTGTTAATGAACCGGGCAAAACAACAAAAACGGAGGAAACCGGAAAAGCAAACCAGGCAAACCAACCTTCTGTTAATGAACCGGGCAAAACAACAAAAACGGAGGAAACCGGAAAAGCAAACCAGGCAAACCAACCTTCTGTTAATGAACCGGGCAAAACAACAAAAACGGAGGAAACCGGAAAAGCAAACCAGGCAAACCAACCTTCTGTTAGTGAACCGGGTGAAACAACAAAAACGGAGGAAACTGAAGAAGAAAACCAGCCTTCTGTCAATGAATCAGAAGAAATAACAGAGGAGGAGAAAACTGAAGAAGAAAACCCGGAAAAAACAGGCAGTGAAGTTCAGAAAGATCAGGAAACACCTCAGGATAAAATTCAGTACACGCAACCAGGAATGAAGGAGGAGGAAAGCAGCCATTTCTTTGCCTACTTTGTCACTGGAGCTGTACTGGTGGCAATGCTTTACATCGCTATCCACAACAAGCGCAAGGTACGTTCCTAATCATTTATAAAGATATTCACTATAACATGCAGCCTAAAACAAACTAAACTCATTTTGTCTCTTGTGATTGATTCCTTTACCTTAAACAAGAAGTTGTCACAAAGGGGAGCCGTGGTTTCAGTTCAATCACCCATTTTTAAGCTACAGGTGGTTTGTAGAGGGCTGAAGCTAATTTTAGCAGAATATACTGACCAAAATTTCTCTATTGTCTTTTTATGTTTTTAGATTATTGCCTTTCTTTTGGAAGGAAAAAGATCCGGATCCACTCGACGACCTAAATCCGCACACTACCAGAAGCTGGAGCAAAATGTGAGATATAGCAGCAGTGAATCACTGAAGGAGACATTTTTTGCAATCTCATTGAAAAAAATCAGTGGGCTTGACTTCAGGTTTTTTTGCTCAGTGATGCTGTTTTAACCATGTCTCCTTTTCATTGTTAAATTATGAACTGATCTTAATGTGTTGAGTCCTGTAATGCACTTTTTAAGTTTAGTGTTCTAGCCACTCTGGGGAAATTCATCACTGTCATATTTTCCAATAAAGGTCTGATACTGCCAGTTTTTAAGGTCACCAATTCTGAATTGTTGAAAATATTTCTTAGTATCTCAGCTGTCAAATAAAGATTGTACATATAAGAAAGAGTCATACTGACAGGCCTTCACAGCAAACATTTTTTGACAACAGAAAGCTTTAGAAAGAGATCTGAAGTTTATCTTTGACTTAACCCATCATTGTACAAAGGAATTTGGAATGGATTTGAGGAGATGTAGTTCTTTATAACAGCATCCATTGACATGTTGGGGTGACTTGCAACTGTTTTTCTTTCAGATGTGATCCAAAGCTTCCTGGAAAAACTGTGGTGGATCTGCACTAAAGAAAAGGACCTTTCTCTATATGGACACTTCCGATTTTGACTTTTAACTGTTTGTTGCATGACTAAGCATATGACAGATTGCCTTATCCGGAGGGTATGTTAAGTAGGCTTGCAGTATTTTGCACTTGTGTAAATGTTTTGATTTTTGGGCCTTCTGGTTTGAGGGAGGTGGTGGATCAGGATGCTTGGTAGCAAATCAGTTGTCTTAAATCTGTCTTGTTTTTATGTCACAGTATAGATGTCAACATGTACCTGAATAAGCCATCACAGAGTGTTTTGTTGCTTTGGAAATGCCTTTAATATATGCTGTTTCCTTGAAAACAATCTATTTTATAAATACAGGTATAATCAGGTTAATGTCGCCTGGCTAATCTATGGTCCGCTTCCTCTGTTTGAGCTGAGGAGGCTTCAACTTGTGCCACTTGATGGGTTGGACTCATCCATTAAGTTTACCTATAAATGTATTTGTAGGATAGGATTTCAGTGCAGACTCTTTGTTTTTTTGCTGTCAGGAAAAAGAGTACTTTGCTGAAACTACCACTAAAATATGAAGTTGGGTCAGCCATCAAACATTTGTTTTGTTATTTAGAAATGAAAAAACCCAAATCTTTTCCAAATGGTTTGAGATAATCCTGTGGTTTATCTTGTCTTTTTTTTTTTTTGCCTCATACTTTGAGGTAAACCATTTTTTTTCTTCTAGGAAGTGTGTATGAACCAACTTGCAGCTTTCTAGAAACAGTTGTTTGTAATATCTGAAATTGTTTTAAAATTTGACCTGTGGTTTTCTGTGAAGATGGGTATCGGGAAGGATTAAATGATGAGGTATTTCAGAAAGAATTGTATAAAGATAACGTTTTTTTTTTAAATATACCAGATCTAAGCAGTTTAGTGCTTCTACTGAAATAAATTATATCTGCTTATTTTCTTTTGTCAGTTTCTTTTGTCAGTTTGATAGATAGATACTGAATTTATCTAAAAATATCTTTGGCACAGAGCACCACAAAATAAAATGATTATGGTAAAAACACAATTGGTCAGCTGCCAATTATGGTAACTAGACTGGAGTAGATTTAAAGTGCTAATCTTGTGGAAGATTTTTAGTCTTCAGGCAACAAATTCCACGTATTGGCTCAGGGAAAACCAGTTTGACCAGATGAGTTTTTACTGATGGTACCTTGCAGTTTGTGCAAGGTACTATCCCCTGTGCATTTGGGGGGCGGTGAACTGTGGAAATAGGGAAGGGAAAAACATGTCAAGATGATAACATGAGATAATAGCCTGATTCATATTCTGCTGAAATTTTAGATCTGTTGCAACAAATTTTCGCTATAGTTTAGTCAGATCCAGCCACCACAGAGTTTTAGAAAAGCAGTGCTAACTGGATCTTCAGTAGCCTCGTGAGACCATCCTGATCTCGCGAGCTTTCAAGTTTTCACTCGCAGATCAGTCTGGAGACTCTCCGTTAAAGAAAATTTGGAGCCGTTCACCAAATGAACGTCCAATCAGCGTTGGCTTTGAGGCAGGTTGAGGTGTGACGCAACGAGAAGCGCGACAGTTCAGTCTAAAGAACATGGCGGCTTCAGCCGATGAAACTAGCGTTAACGTGGCTATCGAGCAAGTTTGATCGGAATTACAGAGTATTTCTTCACTGAAAGAAGAGCAAAACACTGCTCTGGAGGCTTTTCTCAGAGGAAAAGATGTTTTTGCTCTTCTCCCGACTGGTTTCGGCAAGAGTAGCCTGGCTTGTGGTTGTGTTTTCGTCGTTGCTCTGTTAGTACGTCACATGCTTCGTTGATCTGATTGGTTTATTTGGCCCGTCTATCACCAACATAGGCCAAACAGCTAACCAGTATTTTCGCCCCTTCCCAAAATTACTTCAACGGAAGGTTTCCAGAAGGATATGCGGAGCAAATCCATCTGGCGGAGTCAGGTTAGATCTTCAGTGAGGCGAGAATGTTTTTTTTATGTGGATGATAGACAAACATAACATAGTTATAAAATGAGGGATCGTTAGTATATACTTCATTTTTAGGCCTACAGTCTACAGCATAATAAACACTGTTTCTATAAGTTAGTTTCTATAGCTGTAATATATTAAATAGTTTTTATATTTCAAAAAGTAGTTCAATCTTGAACAATTCTTGAAGAAATTTCCTTTATAGTTTTGGACTTAATCTAAGCTTCAATTTCATGTGAAGCTACTTTGAAACAGGGTGAAAAAAACTGTTTAGTTAGATCTTATAGAATATTTCATCTTGCTATTTTGCTAAACTACTAGTTAGCAGAGTTCAGAGGGAAAACTAGACATCCTTCTCCATAGTGACACTCCACCTTAGTTTTTTTCTGTCAAGAACATTTTTGGGGAATCCTGTAAGCTCCATGTTTTTATTTTTATTTAAATCTTTTTAAAAACATAAAGGTGAGTACCACATTAATCTGAGATAATTCAAAAAATATCAAAAGGAAATAGCAACATAAAAATTGATACAAAAATTATAAAATGCAGAACTGAGTTAAATAATTAATTTGTGTATATAAGCTGCATTTAGGTGTTTAAAGCTTTTTAATTGTCAGATTGTTTTAAAATAGAGCTTGAGGTCATTTATTCAGGAGAAATGTTTCCTTCTCAGTATTATCCTTTTGTGAATTTAGAACTTTGGATTTTGTAGGAGCTGAAGTGTCTAAAACCAAAGTAATGAAATTGGGATTTGATCCTCTTAGGTATTAGAGCTTTAATATCTTTCCAAAGTTTTTTGACCAATTACAGAGACTTCTTTTTATTCTTTAGTAAGAAAATATTTGTATAGAAGAGACCAGAATAGACTCATTTGAGGTTCTGGATGCTTCTTGCATCCAGAATGCTCCTTTTAGTCTGTATCTTATGAACATATGAGAGGAAAGCGGTGTTTATGCATTTAACCATTTACAGGGCAAGTTACCATTTTTGATCACTAGCATACCTCTTAGAAATGGAGTTCCCCGCCATCCCTCAGTGGGGTCTAGAAGCACAAGATCTATATCCGGCCATTAAGCAAAGATCCTGCTACATGGCTGTACATCTTATTTTGGCGTTTGACCGATTAGATGAGCCCTTGAATGATATATTACCTACTGTAAATTAAGTTGGGGGAAAAAAAAGGTTAAGAAAAAAAAGGTAAAGTAAAAAAGTGAATAAGCCTAGTTAATTATTTCTTGATTTATAAACTAAAACACTTAAGTGCCAGTATCAGCATTAATGCCGCTAAGGTTATTTTGGACCAAAAAAACGTGTTTCTTCCACTCTGAGTGTTTTTCATGAATTTCTTATAGAAGCACTTTGGTTATTTTTCTTAATATCTTCGGGCAAGTTGGCATTTCTACATTGATTTTTGCCATGAAAATATCCATATGTTTTAATTTTCCAAAGGTAAAGTCTTGTCCTGAATTCCAATGATATATATATATATATATATATATATATATATATATATATATATATATATATATATATATATATATATATATATATATATATATATATATATACATATATAAAATATATTTTTAGTGCTAATGAAAAAAAAAGAACAGCAGACAAACATGGGCTTTTAATACTTTATTTTTGCATTTATTTATAAAAAGAATCGTGAAAGTGTAGAAGATAATAATAAAAAAAGAAAGTTTATTTACTCTCCCAGTGGCCAAAACATATAAAAGCCATAATGTCCATAACTGCTCAGTGTTCCACCCTGTAAGGGAAAGTCTGTGGTCACAGATGCACCATGTTTCTGGCCTCCTCTGCATAAATATCCGGTATCTCTCCTAAAGCAGAGGGAACCATCCTGACTGAACTGCTGCCTCTCAGCTCCTCCTCATACCGGATGAGCTGCTTCCAGAAGCCGGGGTTCGGTCTAACGATGGGCCGGCATCTCCTCAGCATCCTGTGGGCCTCCAGCAGACTCATCCCTCGGTGTTTGATCAGGAAGGCCAGGCAGAGGGCGGCGGAGCGGCTCACTCCGGCGTTGCAGTGAACCAGTGTGCGGCCACGGCTCTCTGCGATGCTCTGGATTTTATCCGCCACCTGGTCAAAGTGATCTCTGAGTGAGGAGAGCGGGGAGTCGGATACCGGGATGTGGACGTACTCCTCCACACCAGGAGGAGGAGGAGAGCTGCTCCTGGTCTCTGTGGCGTTTATGATGCAGGTTATCCCACTGCCTGTCACCTGGGAGCAGTCCTTAGCTGCTCGGCCATTACTCAGGAAAAGGTGGTCGGTGACTCGGCACAAGCCAGAGAAACCAGGGCTTCCAGACTGATGCATAAAAGACGGGAAAAGGTCAGAAGTTGTCTGGTTTCATTTAAAATCCGCCAGCAGAGGAAGCGGAGGCATACGGCAACCGAGGAAGATCAAATCAGAACGAACTCACGTTACGATGTCGCCCCCTAGTGGATAATGATTTTAAACTACCGGTAAAATATTTAGCTATCCCGCTTCAAATTAGTGCAAAGCACAGTTGGTCGGTAACTAGTTACATCTACTGGAGTAACTTGAAAAAATAAATAAATACTTTTATGAGCACTTTTCAAATCAGTAAAAATATGATGAAGAATTCTATCTTAGTCAGTTAAAGAACATGCTGCTGTCATTTTGCACATCTCTGATGTTGCAGCTGTTTTCAAATATCCATTAGTGTAAAAATGTCCATAGCTTTATACTGGTTATTTCATCTCCAAGTGCAAAGTTTTATGTTGTTAAAATACTTTAAAGTACAGTATTTTATTGTTTATCTTTTAACTCTTAACTATTGTTATTCTTATACATTTTTCTAAGGTTCACATTTGTGTGACCATTTTTTCCCATAATCTTTTTGCTGCTGTAAACACCAGAATTCCCCTATTGTGGGACAATAATGGGATTTTCTATTCTATTCTATTCTATTCTATGAGTACAATTTCTGGCTTTTCAATCAATTGTGAGTAACTTCAAACAAGGTAGTTTTAAACAAACATGCCCCAAATGAGGAACACATTCTTCACCTTCACTACACATGGATATACTTTAGTATATTCTGCTGTAAAATGAGTCTTATCGGGCTACCTTCAGCTTCATCTCCTGGTCGCAATCTTTACTCACTGTAGAAGCAACGGTCCACCTCTCCCTCTTCGGTTCTTTCAAAGAACGTTTGTATTTTGGGAAGTTTTTTCCGTTCTTCCAGCAGCTCATCTTTCCTTTTTCTTTTCCGCTTAAGTACCTCTTTTTGGTATCCATCGTCGCTTACACATTGTACATAACAGATATGGTTATAATCTACACTGTGGATTACCCATAATTCCAAGTGGTATTGTAAGAAATAAAATACTCAAATACATCATTCTTTTAAGATCTTTATTTCGGTTTGAAACATATTATAGGAGAGTATTTTTTACCAGCCGTCTAATGAACTATACACAGTTATTAACATAGTAATTAAAAGTACTACTGTCTGCTTTGCTATTAGGTGTCATATTTAAACGGATCATCATCATGTTGAAATCTGGCATGTGTTGCGGTATAAATAAGGTGTGATCAGTCATCTTATTATCAGGTGGGTTTAAGAAGAATTTTTCACACTATTACATCTGCAAACAGACGTCCTAGTCCACTAAAGCATAGAGGGCCACCCAGGTGTTAGTGATGGGGCCCCTAAGCAACTGCAGTCTCTGCTTATCGATAGTTACGCCACTGGTTCGTTTCACGAAGCAGATTTACTGAAAGCTCTTAAAGGAATAGTACACCCAAAACATGATTAGCCTTCATTTTCTACTCACCCCCATGCTGAACAACACTCTGGAGTACTTTTTTGATATCTCAAATGCATCTGGAGATCTGGGAGGCTTCTTGCTGTCTGCTGACATTCAAATAATGGAGGTCTATGGTGACCGAGACAGAAAGGTCCATAAAAGTCCACAAAAAACGTGTCAATATTCCTCCATACTGCTCGTCCAATGTATTCCAAGTGTCCTGAGTGGGTAGCATCCAGAATTTACTCGAAACGAAGTCATTTAGAATGTTTTTAGAGCATAAACAGTAGTGTATAGGATTTCCTGAAAGCGCGCACATGCGCGCTCACGACGCTACGGAAGCCGGCAGACCAAACCAGCGCATTCAGCTCGGCAAAGAACTCATGCTCTTCCTCAACACTGAAGTCCTCAGACATTTTTCTTTCGTTGTTTCTTTCTTTGCACAGGTAAACAGCACATTTCTTCTTCTACGCTTGCATTATTGGCAGAGCAGACGCTGAATGCGCACTTTCATCTGGTTTGGTCTGCCGGCTTCCGTAGCGTCGTGAGCGCGCAGGTGCGCGCTTTCAGGAAATCCTATACACTACTGTTTATGCTCTAAAAACATTCTAAATGACTTCGTTTCGAGTAAATTCTGGATGCTACCCACTCAGGACACTTGGAATACATTGGACGAGCAGTATGGAGGAATATTGACACGTTTTTTGTGGACTTTTATGGACCTTTCTGTCTCGGTAACCATAGACCTCCATTATTTGAATGTCAGCAGACAGCAAGAAGCCTCCCAGATCTCCAGATGCATTTGAGATATCAAAAAAGTACTCCAGAGTGTTGTTCAGCATGGGGGTGAGTAGAAAATGAAGGCTAATCATGTTTTGGGTGTACTATTCCTTTAAGTTGTCTAAAACTGAAATGAGGAAAACTCAGAGTTTTTGAGTTTCACAAAGAGAGTTTCCTCCCCCTGTTTGGGTTACCATGGTAACATTCTCTCCAGATCTAACATGGTTGGCAGCTGGTTTTTCAATGAACCCTGAGTGTACCGTGTCTCCGCCCTCTAAGCCACTCACTCACTTCCTGATTGAATCAGAATGCGCTGGTAGGTCTGTGCAAACAATAAATGAAAGCCCGTTTATTTTAGACGCAGTAAGCGTTAAACATGGCGTGTCCTTTTGACGAGGATCCAATAGATGAAGGAGCGGCATTAATCCGCAGAGAACTCATCTGTCGTCGGCAGAGGATTCTCAGACCGCGCATAGACGTCCTCTCCCATTCAGACAGTTTCCTTTATGAGCGCTACCGTTTCACCTCACAATCAATCACATACATCCACGACCTGGTTCGTCCACACATTAGCAACATTACGCGCCGGAGTCTCGCTCTCACGTCCCAGCAGCTTCTGTGCGTGGCGTTGCGTTTCCTGGCCAACGGCTCGTTCCTGTACAACGTGGGAGAAGCTGAGCACATCAGCAGGGCGACGGTGTCCAGAGCGGTGCGCAGGGTATGCCTGGCCCTCAAACGACTGTTACCCAACTTTGTTCACTTCCCTGGGAATAAACCCATCGAATCCATCAAGGAGGAGTTCCACAGGATTGCAGGTGAATAATCCATTATATGCATTAGAAATTATTTCTTTCTGAATAACCTAAACATCTATATTCCTCCACTTAAGGATTTCCAAACGTTATTGGATGCATAGATGGAACCCAGATTCCAATCAAAGCTCCCTCACATAATGAAGCTGATTATGTGAATAGGCACTCTATTCACAGCATCAATGTGCAGGTAGAGTTACTGACTACTGTTCCAAGATGTTAAAGGTTGCCTTAGAATTAAACATCTTTCATTCTCTGCTCTGTCCAGATAATCTGTGATGCTGGGTGTTTAATCTCGAACGTTGAGGCAAAGTGGCCTGGGTCGGTCCATGATTCAAAAATATTTCAGGAATCTAACCTCCGCAACAGACTACAAGGTGGTAAGTAGCCTAAAGTTTAGCACAATATGGCCAGAGGTGTCAAGTAATGAAGTACAAATACTTTGTTGCAGTACTTAAAGGGGAACAAGTTTTTTTTTTTATATTGACCCCTTGATTTTATGTTATTACATCATGTTCTACTCATATGAGTTTTGTGTCATTTGGAGCTGTTCCAAAAGATATTCCGTTAGGTTAAATCCAAGTAATGTCTTCCTATGGGCAACAAGTTGAAGGCCGGACTGAAGTTGTAACAGGAAGCCCGGGCCACAGGCGGCTACAGTCTACCCCTTCTATTCATTCGGCGAGCTAATCTGAATCGTTCAATTCCATTTGGAGAGCGAGATCATCTGTGGTAGCAGCACTAGACATCTTCCAGGCATGTGAGTAAAACTAGATGCAGTTCAGCAGACAGGATGAATGAACGGTAGCCGGCGCGCGCGGATGATGTCATACACACTCCGCTTTGTTTAAAAAAAATATATAAATATAAAATATATAACTGCGGATGTCTGGGGGACAGTGATTCGCCTACATGTTATGAATGCTGGTGTACCATAAAGAATAAATTATTAACAATATGTAATAACGTAAAATCAAGGGCCCAATGTAAAAAAAACAGTGTTCCCTTTTAAGTACACTTTTTAGGCATCTATACTTTACTCCATTATTTATTTTTCTTCCTACTTCTGACTTCTACTAATTACATTTTCACACAAGTATCTGTACTTTCTACTCCTTACATTTTTAAAACAAACGTTACTCGTTAAGGCTGATTTATACTTTGAAACTAGGTCGTTTGCGTAGGTGTCGCAGTGAATGCAAAGACGTCCCCGCTCCCTCCGCAGACACTCTGCTGCACCTCTCCCAAATTGTAGGTGACAGCAGATAGGAGGCCCGCTTGCTTTGTTTGTATTACCGGAATTGCAGAGCGAGGTGTGCGAGAAAGCTGGGACCCTATTTCCACCTGGATCCCTGCTCTTCTTCGTCCTCATGTCCCTCTGTTGTCGGACAAACTTGCCCCCACTTCCTCACCGCCTATCTAGACCCACAGCTAGTTCTTGATTCTCTTGCATTGTGGCGTGGAATATAACATAGCACAGACCACGCTTCAAAATTGAGCATAAATCAAAAATGTCTTCGTCAAGCTCACTGCGACACACTGCGGCAGGGAGTATAACCAGCCCTTTACTCTTGGCTTCGGTTTAATGTTTATAAATATTTATTTTACGTCATGTGCACCATCCAATGCATACCATTGGCGCCATCCACATCTAGTCAAAACTAGTGTAATTGATGAGTCATATAACGCAAACACTAATTGGTTAGCTAAAGGAAATCATCAGAAGCAAGCAGGTGTTCAAACTACAAACGCGAATTGTCTATGCCATGCTGCAATGTCGGATTCAGAAAAAGATGTTGAAATGTTTGAAAGGTTCGGACACAGGCGAGAGCGTATCGGGAGATGGAGACGGAGACCAACATCCCTCATCCTTGGCCCTATCTTAAAATCTTTTTTCAAAATAGTCGAAAAATTGGGCTTTCAATTCATATAGTGGCATCTGGCTGTTTTTTTTTTAAAGGTTACTTTACACTTTTATACTTTAAGTAGTTTTTTGGAGCACACACTTTTTCACTTTTCTTGAGTAAAGAGGTCAAGTTGATACTTCAACTTTTACCAGAGTGTTTTTAAACTGCAGTATCTATATTTCTACTTAAGTAACAAATGTGTTTACTTCTGATACCACTGAATACGTCTCACTGGTTCCTGTCCTTTTAATGTATCTACTATACATTACAGGAGAGTTTGATGGCTATTTGCTGGGAGACAGGGGTTACCCTTGCCAGCCATGGCTGCTGACCCCTTACCCTGACCCAGAACCAGGTCCCCAACAGAACTTCAACCGGGCTCACTGCAAAACCAGAGCCCGGGTGGATAAAACCATAGGCCTGTTGAAGGCCCGTTTCCAGTGCCTACATTACCTCAGGGTGACCCCTGAGAGGGCCAGGGATATAATTGCAGCTTGTGTTGTTCTTCACAATATTGCCATTATTAGAGGGGAACAACACCCTGCCCTACACATGGAAGACTTTGATGACGAACCCCTGCATCTACCAGCCAACCAGGATGGGAGGGAAGTGAGAGACGCCGTATGCAAGGATCACTTCTCAGTATAATTCACTGTCATCCCCCCTGCTTAAATAAAAAGAACCATGACATACATTCTACTTGGTCTTTATTTCCTATAAATATACATACAGAAGTTAGGTTTTGCATCCTTCCAAAAACCTAGGACTTATGTTCCAGGACGGCCTTTCTACTTTGGCAGTCCAGGTAAAAATATTTCTTTATCCATCTTTTCACTTTTCTTTAAGAAGTAGATCTTATACACTTCTCTAACAGGTAGCTGGGGATAAAGAAAGTGTAAATTAATGCATGCAAATTACCCAGAATGACCCTCTTGCTTATTGCGCATCTATCTCACTGCATCAATCTCTGCAGTAGTTGTGGGTCCCTCCTGCTGCAGGCCAGCTACACTCTGTTAACAAGGATTGAAATATGTTAATACCTCAGTAGAGGCTGAATGTCACACTATATTCTACAAGACTGATAAGGAATGAAAATTAATTAATAGTAATATGCAGCCACCCTGTATACCCCTCTGTGAAGGCCAAAGACATTTTGTCTTCATCCTAGAGGATGGACATATTTCAGTATGGGTCTTATGCAAATTTTGAGAAATCATTGGAGTATTGCATGCTTACAGATGAAATGTCTGTTGCGGCACGAGGGGGCTCCATTAGAAATATTTTACCACCGATATCTGTTAGGACAGAAAGGAAAAGGGGGCATGAAAGGGAAATAAATGCTTGGATGTATATGCTACTAACTAGTGGACAAAGACATGGGGAAAATATAAGATTGCACCATTCTTCCCTATTAAGCTATAATAATAATATCTTTTTGGTTCATCATTTGGTAATGCCAGTGTTTATTATTTGACTTGGACAGTAAATGCAACCCCCTTAAAGCCTCTTTTAGCTGTACCATGCACAGCTATGGATGGTACACTGTAAAAAGTGAATGCAGCCCCATCATCATTTATTTACTCCACTTGGTAACAAGTAATTTGATTAAATTTACGCAGCTTAAGTTATGTCACTTGGTAAATAATGAACTAAATAAATTGGGTTGGATCAAATTAATCTGATTACTTGCTACCGACTGAAGCAATTCATTTAAGTTGGAGCAGCATTCAGAAATGCATTAAGAAATGTTGGTTGTCTTCAAGGACCACTTTTATCCAAACAAATACACATTTACAGTATTAGGGATTTGAATGAACATTAAACTGGGAACAGTAGTCTAATATTTCTTCCCATGACTGTATCTATAATGAAGCATCTGACCCCTGTGTCTTGGAAGGAGGGCTCACAGGATGAGCTCCCATGATTCCCTCAGCTGCTGGCCTTCCTGCATTCCGGCTTAGGGCCCGCTCCTCTGCCTGCGTTAGTTGTGGAGGTGGTGGAACAGCAACTTTTATGGGCCTCTGCCTTCTTTCTGTTGGCTGGGAAGAGGTCTGTTAGTTTTTATAAATTCCCTTCCTTTTAACAACTCGATATCAGTGAGAGCACAAAGTGCATAGTGACAAAAAAGAAAGAAAGGGAAAAAAGCATAGTCAAACATCCATTCAGTATTTACTGTGTACTTTGGTTCCTCAAAGACTATGACTATTCAAACCATAAAATAGCTTTCTCTGTAATGCTATCATGATTATGACCGTCTTCATATAAACTTATGCATCAACTTGGGCAGTGGTTTTCTCAGATGCCATCTCCTTGTCCTATACAGCTGTGGAGGTGTTGCTCTTTCTTTTAAAAAATATGCTCAAACTCACCGTATGCCTGCATTAAAACTTCCAGTTCCACTGGTGTGAAATAAGCCGAGGGAGATCTTCCTTTGGCTTAATTGTTGTCATGGTGACTCATCAATTCTGGGCTCCCCTGATGATGGCTTTTTACTCTTGTCACGCACGTGCTTAAGTCTTACTGGACCTATTTAGAGTTGATTAAACTAATTCATAGCAGCTGTTGTGAAACTGAACACTCAGAGTTCATGACATTAGGCTAGATCAATTTTTAAGGCGTGAGTTGAGGATTTGAATCTGAGTTTGTTAAACCTGCTTTGTGAAACGGAAATTAATGTAGCCCGATAAAGCTAAACTTTTTTTCTAATAGGGGAGGGACAGGAAAGGTAAACGCTCATTTCAGGGTACTCATTCTTAAGAATAATCTACATAATGTAATCAGGATTTTGCAACATAACCCAGAATGGTTTAACAAAACATGAGGTCCACTTTTTAAATTATATGCAGGGGAGGAGATACATGGGGGGCCATGGCCACCTTTAGCCAATCATTGGCCACCCCTACGATTTTTTTCTCTCAAGTAGAATATTCAAAACATTTTAATTTTATATATATTAACAATTACTTGACAACAAAAACACTGGTTAATTGTGCACATCAATATACCAACATTAGAGATGAATAGTACAGAATTCATGCTCTTTCAGAGCTAGATTTTGTGTTATAATGCCTTAAAGAGAAAATGATGTTTCTCTGGAAGTCAAGTGTCTTCAGTAAAATTATAGATACTGTAAATAACTATTTTAACAAAAACCTATTAAATTATAAATTTATGTTAGTACTTGTAAATATAAATTTTATGTAGAATGATATTGATAACAGTAGGTAAGTAATGACAATGGAAAAGACTCAAACCTCAAAGAATTTTATCCAATATAGCTTTTATCTAGAAGGATGTTTAAATATATGCATCTATTTGTTATCAAAGGCTGTAGGAAACTATAGTTTGACATTATTTAGGAATATGGATTTTTTTGAGTGTTCCTGTTGGAACAATTTAGATTGACCCTAAGGTTCTGGTGCCTGTCCGCTTTTGCCCACCCCTCAGTATACATTGGTTATTGCCTGGCCACCCATATTAAACTTTTCTGGCTACGCCTCTGACTATATGGCTGTTAAAAAAATCTTTAGATGTTATCATCCATTTTATGTCAACCAAATTATGTAATTATCTTCTTTCATACAAGGCACAGAATGAAGTTATCAGTTCTTTCAAAGTTTATATGTCACAGGTCCCGTGTTTGTGTGTGTGCATGGGTGTGTGTGAGTGACTGATGCATCTCTCCAGAGAAGATCTTGGTGGAGAACCTGGGCAGTCTACACAGGTGGAGCTCATCAGTCTCATCAGAGTGCTGGGCTTTAAAGAGCAGCAGAGCCTTCACACAGTGCTGGTTTCTTATTGTTTTCTTGCTTCCTCATCTTTTGCTCCCCTCATGTTTGTTTCCTGACGTTTATTGGATTTTGTTTGGTTTTCAGTATTTTTGATTTTTGCCTCTGTTGTTCTTGGACTTTTCATTAAATCAGCAAAACTCACCTCTCACTACTCTTCTCTGCATTTGAGTCCTCAAAGCCTCCACTCATCCTGACGATATAGGCCTTTAGCCACACAGAGAAATAAAGCTTAAATCTACAATATAGCTTTAAACTGTAGCCCCACACTGCCTCCCCCTCAAACAATACGGAGGCTGACATGGTACAAAAGGGCTTCCAAGACGTCTGCTTTGTCTACATTATCATTTGATGGTGAAGTTTTATTTACATTAGATCACAGCATTAAATCCATCAATTCTTCAATATATTTGTCTCAGGTACAGTGACAAGTATATGAATTAGGAGATGAGAAAATGTCATGAATTAACTACTGTTTTAGTGAAGGAGGCTGCAGAGATTAGCTTTTTTAAATCAAAATGGAAGACAGAAAATAATGTTGATAAAGGATAATGCAGGGAATGCTCTTTAAGGAGGTCTGAATGGCTTTTTAAAAAGCTGTTTTAATTTAGCCCTAGAAAGACTGTTAATTGTCCTACCTCCAACACGGATCAGCTGATCCCTTCTCTCATGTTGAACCGCCGCCTACTCCGCCCGCAGGCTCCTCTGACCATCTAAGTTGGGTTTGGAGATCTAAGAGTTAAGCTCAGGAGAGCAGGTAGACTGGTATTTTATTATGACTATCATTACACTACATCTGTTAATGGCTAATATAAGTACTGGTTTCACATGTCAGCTCCATACGTTTTTAGAATAATGGGTAAATTAAATGGGTAACTCTTCAAATATGTGACATCACCTATGCCGTCAATAATAGTTGAATCACTACTCAGGAAGCAAACCACATTTAATGATCTTATGCCAATATAGTTGTTTTAGATAAATAAGAACATTCGTATGGGCAGATCCATATACAGGCACATTTGATAATGCTGAGAGTTTAAATTATGTTGGTAACTCAGTTCACTGTCTAGAATATTTCACATATATTAATGTTTTCATGCCTACAGTTGATTACGATAATTATTGAAGGAGTACAGCTAATGAAAACAATAGTTTTTAGATTATTATGTAAAAAAAAAACACTTTAAGAACAAAAATGTGAGCTTAATGAAAACATTTCTTTTTTTACATTTGTTTTAAAAGCTACTTTAAGACTGACTAACAAGTCTAATGTAAATTGATCAACTGTAATTGATCTCTAAGTCAACAGCAGTGGTTGGGGTCTGTTGCCATGTGATAAAGCAGAGGGTCAAGGGTATATCATCTACTGCCATTTACTTACTTGAGATAAGCACAATAACCTCTGCAAGAATCTTTAAAATGATCCAGATGTTTGACTTGTTTAGGAGTCTTGGCGTGTCTATTCCGTTCAATCCAGACTCTGGTATCCAAAGCATAAGACAATTATTACTTTAAGCTTATTGCTTAGGTAAAGCCCTCCCCAAGTAGAACTCAATCCCATTGTGTTAAAATAACCCAGGGGTCCATTCAGGCTCGGAATGGGAAAGATTTTTGGCCCTGGCATTTTTTCATCTACACTGGTCCACTGGGTTTTACTGGCTTTGGTTATTAATATGGATGCAACAGTGACTGCTGCTGCGTAACGTCGACACTTGCACAAAGCCAGCCAGACACCCACTCACACATGGGTCTAGGTCTACAACGTAAGCCTGAGCGTTGTAAAAACACCAGCATAAAACAATACAATATAGAGGCAGACAGGCAGTTCTTCAAGAATGAATACATGAAAGCTCAGCGGCGTGTAAGCTCGACTGCGAGTCTAGGTGGCATGTGGGCAATGAAAAGGAATCATGTAAACAAATGCAAAACCCCATCATGCACTGCAACATATTTTTGCAAAATATTCGAACATAAATTCGCCAAATATAAGAACACCTTAGTTTGGTTTAAAGAAAGCATTTTAGTTTTTTTTTTTTACAATTTAGTTCATTGCAAGGATTTTACAGTTTGAAGAAATAGAAAATTACACCATACGCCAACCGTCACAAGGATGTGCATCACAAGGAAGGGCTATATGCATCATTTAAGAAGTTAACATTGTATTACTTCTTGAGCCCCTTGAGTTATTTACTACCAGAGCTTTGGCTTGAGAGTAAGTGTTGGGGCCAGTATGATTTAAGGAGGGCCCCAGCCCTCCTATGCTGAAATTAGGACCGGCCCACAGATTACTTATCCCAGCCTGGGTTCATCTGACTCTGGGTTGCAGAAAGAACTCAAAGTGATTTCGTTTCAACCCCGCAGTTTTTAAAGTGTATTATTCTTCTATAAATAATTTTGCTATAATATTTAATTTGAATAATTGTGCACAGATGATTAGAGGCCATCATATAGCCTGATATCACCTGGTAGAAAAATGACAGTGCAGTAACAATGTGATGATTTGAGGTGGCTGCGGTGCATTATCCGGTGCCTGCAGGCGATCCTCTGTTGCCCAGGAAACACAGATGGTGGATAAGGGGGTTGCATACAAAAGACCATAAACCTGTAGCAGCAGCTGCAGATCGAGAGCACCCATTCTCCCAGGATTGCGCAGTTATTCAAAGGAGTCTCTGTTCTCATTCAGACCATCGCTTCATCATCTTTGTCCACAGCTTTTCTGCTCCACTTTGTCCTGATTTTCTCCCTGAACTGGTGTGCCGTCTCCCTGTCAGTGCGCAGCTGCTGCTGGCACTCCCACAGCTGCTTGTTTCAGCTCGGCGGCCATGAAGAGGACGCTGAACTGCTGAGAAGCAGGAGACTCGGTGTGAGAAGAGACCTTCTTTATGTGGCGCAGGCAGATAAACGCGCTGGGGATGCGCATGTTGAACAGCTTGCCTCCAGGATAGAAGGGGAAAGAAGCCATGATCTCCTCACACCCTTTATGATGCAGATGGAACCTGAAGATCTTTGGTATGGAAAATACTCCTATAATTCAATCTATATTCATATTTATTTACCAAACTATTTGAACAATTCTGGGTTTTTATTTTAAACATATTAAGGCTGAGGAGACTTTCTTGATTTAAATGGCCTATATGTGTTCTGATTGGCAGTTTTAGTTACATTTATAGAAATATTTTCCATAAACTATAGCTGTCCAAGATAAAATAGATACAAAACATGTTGTTTTATTTAAAAGAGCTGGCCTTTAGGCAAAAACCAACTAATCTTTTTCTATAGGGCCTTAACCCCCACCTAGTAACTTGTATTTTGGGACAGGAACATGTTATGACGTTCATTTAGAACTAAATCATCATACTCTAAAGCATTTGTAGTATCAAGTAAATTATCTCTGTATTCACACAAATGAATTTTTTTCAGTGTGATAGGATTATTAAGTCTCATAGTAATCTGGCTAATTCAACTTTGTCTGTTATATTTCAAAATCCTTGTAACTTTAAATTAATCTGTTTTTTGAGTAACTGTTCATTACCCCCAGGTGGTTCTTGATATAACTCCCCAGCTCTGATGTCCTTCAGTTGAGGGGCAGGCCACTCACCCCCCCAAAAAACAAATTACCCTTCATGAACAGCAATCCAACACCGGGCATTTTTACTGTAGATTTTCGATTTTATTGGTCATTAGTTTCAGAAGGGAGAAGACATCACTAGTGTTTTCGATTGTATTAGCAATGTAAGAGGTTATGAGTGTTATGAAGCTTTTTCTGATCCCTTTAAAGCTATAGGCTCAGTTCTAAATGAACATTATAGTTTTTGAAATTCAAAATGCTTATTGAGAAGTCAAACCTGGAATAGGTTATTTGAATTTGGACATATGCATTAATTAAAGACCTAATTGCGATTTGAGAAGTCTTGATTCATTTAGTTAAAAAAAAAATCTAGAAGAATAAGAAGGGTAAAATGCCATGCACACCAGTAGATTGAGACCCATGTAAAATAATAAGGCTGTATTATTTTCCCAGAAAGAGAACTCAACATAGATTTTAGTTCATTTTAGTTCCTGTGACTGCTTTGGAAAGTAGGTCTGTCTGTCTGTCTGTCTGTCTGTCTGTCTGTCTGTCTGTCTGTCTGTCTGTCTGTCTGTCTGTCTGTCTGTCTGTCTGTCTGTCTGTCTGTCTGTCTGTTTTAACTTTACTGTTACTGTTGGTGTAAAGTGCTTACCTCCATCACATTGCTGTAACCATCCCTTCGCCTCTGTGTGGCAGCAAATCCACTATAAGCTTCCTACTGTTACCTATAGGGCTGAAGTGAGATAGTGTCTTACTGCTATTTAATGGAATGTGACCAAATCTGAGTGCTTTTCTGAAAATCACAAGTATTTTGTAAATGCAGAACACTTTGATGGGATTCACTGCAGAACATTTTTTTATTTTCTGGTGAAGTGGCCAGCAGCATTAAGAAAGTGCAGAGAAACAAAGATTGGCTCAAATTGATTAGGATATAATTGCTTCTTTTTTAGGTGAGGTGTGTCATATAAGCTGGAGTCACTGCTTGAGCTGCTGATACCAAACAGGACCTGGGAGGAGCCATCATCAGGGCAGGTTATGTGTTATCTTTGTTAAAATAGCTAAAGGAGGGCATTCTTTATTGGTCAATTGCTATTTATCATTATATATATATATTTTTTTTTTATTAAGGTGTAGTAAAATGCTCTAATATGAAAGAATAAAATGCAGCATCTATAGGAACCTGATCCTTTCGGAGATGTTTACAGGACAGCTGAGTTGCGTTCCACTTTTCTGCTGCTTTGTCTCGTGTGTCCCTTCTCCAGTTACACTGATGAAAGAAAGCAGATTTGGAGTCAACAAGACCCCATTATACCCCAGCTGACGCCGCTCCACCTCCTGCTCTCTGCTGCCTTATGGAACGGTACTGAATCCACCGGATTTATGCCGATAAAACTTTTATTTGCTCTGAGAATTTTTATACACTTACTGCATTTCCTGTTGTCTAGATGACTTTAATCACATAGCTTAGTCTTTATTAACCCATATCTCTTTGGCTCTCAGACACATTTAAGCGCATTTGTGTTTAGCTGCTGCGTTAGTGGAAACATGAGCAGCAATCAGAGATTAGGGATGTGTTAAATTGCTGACATGTTTGTGTTCATTTGCAGCTGTCCTCTGTAGGATCACAGTTTAAAGCTGAGATAAAACGGCATGAAAGCAAAGAGCATTCACAAATCTGATTAAGTTTATCTGCTTCTCAGATTTATTTATTCAACATTAGGTTGAATTATCTCAGACGACACATTTCATGTAACAGCAGGGATGCCTCTTCTATACAGTTGGATCCTATTTATTCCAAGTAATTATTTATTTCAGGAATTCAGTTTAAAAAGTGTAAATGATCAATTTTACATTCAACCATCCAGTCTCTCCTTAGTCCAGGTTGACATTCCTGGTAGTTTGGGTCAGATAATGCAAGAAGCAAAACTACCTCCAACTCTTCAAAATACTTTAAGTTATTAGATGCTTAAAATATCATTCTGTATGTAATAAATCTTTGTTTTTTTACTGCAGAAGGTTGAATTATGCAAAAATACTTTTTATTAGTATTCTTATTGATAAAGATGTCCCTATGGGACCTTTAAAAGGAAGAAAATAAAGTTTTATTTGCTGTGTTTGGTTTGTTTCTCTTGCAGTGGCTGAGACTCGGTGCCGTTGGAGCCATGCTGCTCCCACAGAGGGAATATTTTCTTTTTAGATTGTTTCACTACCAAGAGATGACTTCCGCTGCTGCTTTATCGGCAGAAAAGAAATAACCATGCAGCCGTTGCAGTGTCATTATTATCTGTTTAATCACTTTTAGCTGGAAGGCACTTCATTGGAAATCATTTGCTGCTCTTTTAAATGCTTTGTTTTATAGCTTTAATCAAACCCTTTCTTATTTCCATTTCTGTGGATCAGAAATGACCTTTAGTGAATTTATTTTTATTTTTTGAAAACCAGCTTGAAGTGCTGCCAGATTCAAACCGATGAAGTTTTTTTTTATATATATAGTTGAGGCCTGAACACAAATATGTGCCAGTGTGTGAAAATGGCTGATGTTCCCACCCTCTAAAAATGTGTAAATCACACATTTCTGTTTGTTGTGAAAGCTCCCAAGTTTAATGTGAAACCAACTATTTTTACTATACTACAGCTCTGTAGTGTGAGTGTGAGTGTGGGTGAGTGCATGTGTTTCTCTGCATGTGCTCCATTCGTGTTTATGGCAGTGTGTTTGCACGTGTGTCTCATCGGTCCGATAAGATGTATCTTTAATGGGCCAGAAACTGCAGCTACAATCCTTTTTAACCACTGGATGTACAAGATAAGGGATAAAACATTATTTACTGATGATTCTTAGCATTTGTTACAACCTCATTAAAGCAGCAGTCCTACTTGTGATTTAGATCACAAGGATGTTATTGGAAATTTGTTGGGTGCCGTTTTCTGAATGATGCCTGCTGGCATACACCGAACCCTTTCTGTGCCAGCAGCCCCATCATTTAACACTTAAGCAAATTAAGGCAAATGCTAATAATGATGTGTAAATAGCCTTTTACCCACGCCTTGATTGCACTAACAGGATCTGACTAATGTCGTCTAACAGTACTAATGTCTGCTAACAGTTGAAGGATTACTAACCTCTGTGCAGAATGCAGACGGCTTGCATTTCTAACCCACTAACTTCTCTCTCTGCTTTATATTAGCTGTCTTAGAAGCACGCTTCTCTTCTTTGATCCTGTATTCCTTCTTTTAAGAGGTGTCTGATTCAGATATCTCAAATCGAGCATGGAAAGAAGGATTTCAGGACTTGGGAAGAGGATTGTTGAAAACCTGAGGATAAGAAGAGGTCAAAATTGGTTGACCCCATACTGCAGCTAAAAATAGGCTAATCTGCTTCCAAATGTTTGCATTTTTCAGGCTAAATTGGAATCTTATAGAGCAGTTTTTTGCTCTCTGATTGTGCTGTGTGGTCAACCCTGCCTTTGCCCGTGGAGGTGGTAACTAACCCCTAATGTGTTCGTACTAACAATATGGAGGCTGAATCGGCCCATCTGCCACTCTTACTAACATCTTTCTGTTGTCTGATTGATTTGACAGTAACTAAAGCATGCTTTGTGGTATTGGTGATGCTTATTATATGACTCTCCATGGGCTTTTCCCCCCTATCTCAGGCATCGACTATCTGAGCTGTGTTTTTAACATTTAGTTTAGTTTTTTATCTTCTAAAAAAAACAATTTAAATGTTACTAACCAGAGGAGCTTTCAGTAGCTCTGCAAACTAACAAACTAACCTACTAATAAACTAATTTTCTAACCTTAACTAACCAAAAATTCTTCGGTTTGTGATTTCATCAAACAGTTCTTTAACCAAGGAGCTGTGTCGCTTTTTGAATGCATTTGTGTGTTTGAATGAATGTGTGTGTACAAACCTATCAACGTTTTCATGAAATTATCATTAAAAGTTTTTTAATTATGCTCATTGCATTAAGATTATTGTATGTAGATAGTTATAATCTATCCAAGTTGGTGCAAAACTTTTCTTTCTTTCCACCTGCACTGTGTCCCCTAAACAAGCAGCCTTCTATTAGTGCAAAATGTACGTCCACAGAAGAGGGTTTGCAAAGCTGATATGCGGTACTGAGCCCATCAGGCAGATGAACTGTAAAAAGTCAACCCTAACCCTAACCCTAGTCAGTGGATGTTGTCATGCTTTGAGCAACTTACCACCTAACTGGAATCACACTACAAACGTTATATAGATCCTAAAGGACTTTGGTGTTTAAGCAACATTTAAAGAAGTCAGCTCAGATCCTGTTTCTGCAACATGACGGTCTGCTTAATGTTAGCTACCTTAACATGAACAACTTTTGATTGGACTTTATCCTACCCTTTGGCAACAAATTGATGTGTTGTTAGCATAAGATTCTGTTTAATTCAGGTTTACTGTGTGTAAAATGATAATACTTTAACTCAAAAATGATTGGTACAGTAAAGGCCCTAAAACAAAGTTTGAGCCCCCAGTAACTCATCCTCACATGAGTAGAGGATGTACAGACTGTTGTTGTTTATAAAATATGTCAGCAAAAAACCCCAACAACACTACACTATGTTTTATGCATTTAAAACTGCTTTTAAACCATTAAGTAAATAATTTTTTTACTGCTATTTGAAGACCTGGAATAAAGATGGTTTAAAGTTGACTAAACACTAGTCCGTACTAATAATAAGCAAACCTCACTGAGTTGACATCAAAATATAAATGCCCAAAAAACACTGCAATAAAATAAAACAAAAATCAAACAAACAAAAAAGAAAACATTAAAATTACAATACAAACTCATTGTTGTGATTTTTTCATATTTTTCCATATTACCTGTTCAATCAAGTCTAAGGTTGATGCTAAACAGAACAGCAGTTTTAGTATATTTTTTTATCTAAATGGTTTTGAACTTGATTATTTTCTACTTTGATATTTAGAAAATGTAAATATTTTTGTGCCATTATTAAATATATTTGTCTAACATTTTTAGAAAGAAAACTCACTATTGAACACCCTGTCATTTTTTAGGTTCCCTATCAAATAGGTATGACTTTTATGCATTCCTGTGGATTACTTTAAAAGGACTCATTCATTTATCTTTAAATCTGAAATATACTGTTGAGAAGATATGAAGAATTGTTTCAGATCAGCATCTATTATTATCTATTACATCAAGAGATGTTATAAAAAGAGAGGGTAGAAAGCGGAAGAAAATGAGAGAATTCCAAGATTGAATAATAGGCCTATAGAAAGTTTCTCAGTGTTTAAGATGCCTTGTTTCTGTACCCAAGTAAAACAAATGTATACTGAAAAAATATTTACTTTTATGCATGAAGCAGCACTTCATTTTTTTATTTTATTTTTTCAAGATATACAATCTTTTTTTAAAAGATTATATTTGTTCTTTGACTCGGTCAGTAAAATGATTCAGGTTTTAGATTATTATTATTTAAGTTACTGTAATATCTCAGACAGCAGATCAGACAAAAACTTCGTGATTTCAAGAAATGTATGAAAAACTTAAATCCTTGTTTCCTTGTTGGATGTCTTGATGCTGTTGCTCTCGTTTTATGCACAAATAAAGAAAGGTTTTCTTCTTATGTGTCTGGTTTTTTTTTTTATAAAAAAAAAGGAAACACAACCTAAATAATGAAAAATAACCAAAACTGAAGCAGAATGAAATTTTCTTGAATCTGTTTGAGAATACAGTAAACTATAATCAGCTTTAATACAATCCCAGTATCTGTAGAAAAGATGCCTCAGTGATCGTCCACACAGATGCAGAGGGTTGGTGCTTTATTCTTAAAGGATAAAGGGTTTTCATAGTAGATTTACTACCAGCTTTAACATGTCAACAATAATTCCTGCCTTATGTCTGGTTAGAACAGTGAGGGATTATTTAAACTTTGATCTTTTGGTTCAGACAAGGAATATGTTTGCAGTAAAAAAAACTAATGCAGCGATTAAAACATTGAACAGATCTATAACATTTCTTTGTTCTTCTATATGTGTAAAAGAACAAACAACTCACAAAAAAATAATTTTTTAAAAATGTATTTTTCTGGATCAATATTGCAGCAGTGAAGTCACAACTGGATCACTTTTAATAATTGAAAAACTTAAGAATTGCTATCTCATTAGTTATCAACTACTTTATTAGAATGTGCAAATTGCAATGTGCAGTTTAGTGTTTCAAACCTGCTTTTTATTACTATTTTCTTACCCAGTATTTTTAGAGTATAGATGGTAAAATTAAATAATCTACCTTTGAGTTAGATGATTCTTTCCAAACAAGGTCCTCTTTAGTAAATAAACCTGTTAACTTCTGCTGTCTGTACCTAGGACTGATTACACATGCTAATATGCAAATATCCAGCAGAGGGCAGTATCTTATCAGGTGTTTTTTTTTTGTGTGCAGTTCATGTGTTAGAATTTATGTTGATACACCCACTCATGTTTCAATGACACTTTGACTTCCCATTAATGTTATTACTTAGATATTAACATTTTCCACCAGATTACTGAAACTTTGCATGTAAATTACAGTCTCCCTTATGCCTTGTCTAGGTGGATCAATGGGTTTAATGTATGAGTGTGTGTGTCAACACCTGAACAGGAGTAAAATAGATTGTAAAAAAATGCTGGATAAAACTGGTCAGAGACTCAACATCCTTAGTGATATGACATGTGGGCTATAACAGCTTAAAGGCCACTGAAAGAGGAAAGAAACATGACCCCATAGACAATATAACAGATTGCAATTTACAATGGACTCAATGCAATTAAAATTAATTTTTGAAAACAGGTCCCATGGTCTGTTAAAACAAAAGTACAAACATGTGACCAAAATCCCAAGAGTTACAATTGAAAGAAAAAATTGGAAAATGCAACCATCCCAACTGTAGAATAAATGTAGCATCTTGTTGTATTGATGATTTGCCACAGAAGAAGCAGATTTCATTGAAAGGAAATATCAAACAGTAATAACTTGCTTTCAAACATGGAGGCTTTCAGACTGACACAATCCGGATCAGCACTGTGGTCCAGGTTCTCTGTCTTCGCCTGGCCGCTGGAGGTGGTGGATTGGCATATGGAGGCAAAGCAAATATCCGCACCCCACATTGTTTGTTGACATGTTGGTGGAGATGGTATGGCGTTTAAAGGGAGACATTAGAAAGTTACAGGCATGATGAGACGTCTTTGTAACTTGAAACCAAGCAGGAGACAACTAAGGCGTCTATTGAGCTTAACCTTATTGGTTTTGTCCAGGCCCCCACTAGCCTAATATCTTTTTACCTTAAACCTTGTGATCCTTTCTTCCCTGCTTAACTTTTAACATATTCTTCTGGTCATAGTTTGACTTTCAGACCTGAACGCAGACTCCATTCCTCTCCAAAGGCTTCCCTTCCTCTTGTTAGGCAGCAGCTTAACTCACGATACGACACTTCTGATCAAACCAAGCACCTCGCTGTGCTGACAGCGGGAGGATGTTCTCTAAAGAGACAAGCAGTAGTGGATGAAGTACTCAACAGTAGTACTTGAATAAAAGCATTGACACTCATAGTCAAATTTTACTCAACTACAAGTAAAAATAATTTGACTAAACATCTACCGGTACTCAGGTTAAAGTACTGAGCTATTTTAATAATTTCTTATTTAAAAATAATCCAAAACGAAAAGGTTAGTGTCTTGATTCTCCTCAAACTTTCACCTTGGAATAGAATTTTAAGGTAGAATCTATTACCACAAACTACGGCTGTGCTTTAAGAACTCTTCCTACTGAACAACTTGGCCACACGACAATAACCAACACCTTGATAACATTTATAAACTACCAATAATATCTACCCTGAATTTCTCACATTTTTGGAATGTCATGCAAATCTCTAAAACACTGGTATCCAAATTCATTCCTAATGGCTGCTATCTGTCATGATGAAATTCCATTTCAAAAACAGCAACAGTGGATTGCAAAGCTACCATCAACTAAATCTACTTTCCACCACTGCAGACAAGGATGGCGTTTGTTACATTCAGTCTGATAACTAAATGATAAAATCATTCTATGGTTAATTCTATACAGTTTCTACAAGTTTTAAGGAAAATGAATATTTTCAGAATGTTATTTTAGGACCTGTAAAATGGGGAAAAATATGCAAATCTCCTCATCTATGTTCAAAATACTCAGGAACTAAACTAAATAACCCCAACTCAGTTAGCGTAAACAGGAGTTTTTTCAGCTCACTTCTCAAATACTTTTTAGGCTTTTACAAAGTTGTTAAAAAAATTAGGTCTTCCTGTATTGCTTTCTGACATATATGGTAATTTTGATATTTAATATAAATTTTAGGAACATTGAGAAATTTGAGAAGGCAGAAGAAAAGTCGCTCTAGATGTCTGACAGTTGCTGCCTCTCTCTTCCTCATCTCCAGCCTTCCTGCCCTATCCTGGCCAGCTCTTTCCCCTCCCATCATCACCTGTTGCTCAACTGAAGACCGCTCACATTGGGCCTAGTTCAGTTGGAGGTTACTTCCTGTTAAAACTATGTTGTTCTTCTCCACTATCGCTGCATGCCTTCTGGAGTTGAGGAATTGCTGTAGAGTCAACAACATAATGCAAACCTTTGTTCACTGTTGCTGTAAGCTCATCCAGGAGGAGTGAACTCTCCAAACACGTGACTCAATGCAATCTGCTGGGTTTCCTTAGATACGAAAATTATAACCAATCTTTTTATATGAGCTGAATTATCTATGTAAAGTGCATTGAGATGTGTTAGGCACTATTACTATAAAAATAAACTCCACTGAATTGAATATCATTACTCAGCATTTTAAAGGGTTTTTATTCCTGTTAAAACCTCAGACAAGTTGTCCTGCTGTCTACTGAAGTGAGCAGGAAAATGAAAGATGAGAGATTGAAAGAGCTCTCTGAGGCTCTCAGAAAGAAGAGTGGAGCAATTTAGGTTTCTCAGGGTTCAAAGAATGAAAAATAATAATCAGCCACTGCACTGTTTTTAAGTGTCAGATGTTGAAAAGTACTCCCAACAGGACCCTGACAGTAGTTTTGCTCTGTGAAAGCAAGTTCATTGATAAAGCAAACTGGAATATACTAAAAGAATTTTCCAAAATACTAAAATGCCAGCACATTCTCCTTAAAATGAAAGTAAATTTTGCTAAGTCGCAAAGAGAAAGTTGAATTTTTGTTTCATTGTGTTTCTAAAATAATGTTTTTCTTTTTTTTTTTTGGGGGGGGGGGGGGGGGAACCAGCCGAAAACGTAATTATTTGAATAACCCAACTATAGAAATAAATCTGATTCACATTCCTAAAAAACAACCTCATTCTAACTCCAATCATGGATGTGAAAATAATTCCTCTGACTAATACCAGACACCATAGAAAACTACAAGCAGTTTTTCATTCCAGTTGTGTCTGTAGTTCATAACTATAATTAAAAACTGCATACCACTAACAAACATACTCCTCAAACAGAATAACAGTTGAAGGAACTGATCACTGCCACCTTTAAATCAAAGCACTTAAAAAAAAAAAAGTTAGCAAATGAGGATATAAGACTAAGTATTACAATTTAGGAGTATTCAGTGTTATTCTATAAGGGATAAAATCTGGAAAGTCTTATTTACCTTAAAGTCCCCTTAGTTGTATTTCCGACGTCCTCCTGATAAATCTATACGGTAAAGGATTAGGGCCATTAGAAAATTAAAAAAGATAACAGATTTTTTAATTTTGTTTCAGTATAATATGAGAGAAAAGTCTGACTTTAATCTCAGAATTCTGACTTTTTTTCCCTCAGAATTCTGATACCCCCCCCACCCCCCCACCCCATATTATACTAAAATAAAATTTAAAAAAGAGGTAACTTTTTTTTTCAGTTGCCCTAATCCTCTTCAATACTACAATCTCATCCTTCATGGTCAGAATTCTGAAATTAAAGTCAGAATTCTTAAAAAAAGGCAGTATTCTGAGATTAAAGTCAGAATGCTGAGGAAAAGGGCAGAGTTCTGAGATTACAGCCAGAATTCTGAGAAAAAAGTGAAAATTCTGAGATTAATCTCTGAAATCTGACTTTTATTCCCATATTATATTGAAATAACATAAAAAAATCAGTTAACGTTTTTTCATTTTGTCAGTGGCCCTAATCCTCTTCCATAAATCTACAAGTTTCAGGTTATTCCCAAACTATTTAGAGCAAAAGAAGAACTGGGTGTTTCAGTAACAAGAGAAAGATCTGATTGAATTTAAAGAGAAAGCTTTAGGGATGGAAAGTTTTTCGCCACTGACGTTAAATGTGGCGTCATCAGCAGTGCAGGGTGGGGTTCGCAACCTCTCCTCTTTGACACATTTTGGGTTTAAATTTTGCCAGAAGACAAAATAGGCTTTTGTACTCACATATAAACATATTTTCAGTTGTAAACAGCTTTCATGTTGCCATGGTTATCCATTATACAGTTAAAAAGTACCAGCAGAGAGAGCTTATGCAACATCATGAAAAACAAGAAATATAGTTGGATAAAATCCCCATGGTAACCCTGCAGGATGCTGGTGATGCTCATTTTGAGGTGCAGCAGCATTGTTTCTAAA